CTGTGGGGTGCGGGAGTTCAGGGGATAGAGGAATTTTTTGAGCTCGCTTTCTGGGACTGACGCTTCGATTGGGCTATCGGAGTTCAGGTATTTGCGGAGGAACGATTTGCGATGGTTCTCGGATACGGATGTGATTAGCCCTTTGCACTCGGAAGTATTTCGTTAGAGATACTTAATATTTTTCAACTGGACAAAAACGATGTTTTTTGAAATGAATTCAAAGAAAAATCACAGGTAAATTGAGAAACAGAGCTTTTTTATCCCAATATGTCACGCACCGATGCATTACACGTAGTTCAATATTAAATATCAAATTTTATAATTCTGCTGCATCAAATCAAATGGTGACTGAGTCACCTCTCGAGTGCAAAGGGTTAATGTTGTATTCGAATTGTAGGTTATTGTGATTTCTCAGAGGGTTTCTGAAAGAATTAACTATTGACGGTCTGATTTTGTAAGGGATGGAATTAGGAAAGTGAAGTAGTGTTATAAGAGTGAATTGAGATTGATCTCTATGAACAAGGATCTAGTTGATTATAATAATGATAGATTGCAACCCTTAATGCGGTGCATAGAGTTCCACAGATTTCGCTCGGGATTTCGATATTTTTAAAATGCACCGGGATATGTAAGCGATAGGAAAAGTCGTAAAAAACGTGATTTACAACGATTTACCCTACTTCCAAAAATATCCGCTATCAGCCAGTCCGTACTAGCCCGTTTGACATCGAATAAATATGTTTCGCTGGGAGCAACGATAAACTCTCGGCATCGAAAAACGCGACACTTGCACGCGAGAAGTTCTTATAAAGTTCCGGCTGGTGTTCGAAGTAAAATAAAAACTAGGCGAAGCAATGTTAACGTGTCGGCCCCGATACCGAATCTAAGAAAGCCGCGAACCCTGTTATTCCGTCCACACAGAACGCCGAATTGTTAAGCTTAATAACATCGCGAAAAATTCGTGTCCTCTAGGGTGCTGCTCACGAAATTACTGACATATTATTTAAAAGTAAATTGCCGGTTCAAAGAAAACTTCCATGAATGTAATTTTCCCAAGTGGGACAGCCCCGGAATACAAATGAAAAGAAAGTCAAGCAATTACGATCAACCCAGAATTCAATAATTACCATCGTGCATTTCACAGATTACCAGCCGACACAAATTGCTCGAAGTTCATTCGATTCTCTCCGACCGCCGGATCAACCCCGCACAAAGAACACCGCGCATCGAACACCCTATGCACACGGAATGACTCAATCAGCCCGTTTCCAACCACTTATCCACATTTGCCCGCACACACCGCCTCGAGGATCGGCGGTTTTCCAAGCGACCCCAATATAATCGAGGGCGGCCAAGCAAAGCTCCGTTACCAGAAATCTAATAATACTAGAAAATTGACTAAACTCCGGAACAAACGTCGAGAGGGCGGTTTTAAATGTTTGCCGGCAAATATTTCCCCCGGACGAGGGAGGGGGAGTGCGGCGAGTGTAAACCGGAACGCAGGCACGCGAACGCGATACTTTTGTCGGTCGGGCGGCAGCGGCGTTTCCCGAGAAATCTCTGGTTTTCCTCGTCGGGGGCGGCAGCGCAGCCCCATTGTGTCGCGCGGTTAAACGGCGCCATTGTCCGTCCCGTTTGCAGGGAAAATATTTGCCGCGAAGAGAAATTGTCTTCGATGCCGGCTCCCTTAATGCCATCTGCGCCATCTGCGCCATCTGCGTAACCGCAACCTATATTCCGACCCCTCATTATCGGAGCAAACGATAATCTATGTTACATTTTATTATTTTCCTTTCCTCTTAAAATCGTAATTACAGATACCAGCCGAATGATGACACAGTCGATATTTCTATAATATAATGTATTCGTTCAATGTTGCATAGGGACACTGGCAACTATGTGACAAGGGAAATTATGAAACTTCCAAAGCGGAATAAGTCGAGCCTGATACACTGCAAGTTATCGTCCCGAATTTCAATTCGAAGGGATGACACCACCCCTGTTTTATTCCACAGAAATATTGACGATTCAGTATTTCCCAATCCAGTTAGGTAATTTGCCAAAGGAAATTACGAAATATTCTAAGATAATCGAATTATAATCAATTTGTCCCCAATCCATTCGTCCGCATTTATCTTCAATTATCGTTTACGGATTCCTTCGTTTATCCCGAGTCCTCGTTTACGTCCGTCTAAATTAAAGGAAACAAGGTGAAACAAGAAGAGAGATCGCTTTTATTAACCCGATCCAATAAATCGCCGCGCGTTAGCCGACCGCCTCCGAGATCGAAAACAACTCTCGATCGTCCGGCGAGCGCTGGATCGCGATACGATCTTAACCGGAATTGTTTTTCAGAAGACATTCCAGATTTCACGGCGACCTTGTCCCAGTAACTGCCGTGTCGTAAGCCGCGATACGATGCAGGCTCGCGAGAAAGATCGGGTTAATTGCCGCGGATTTTCTCCTCGGCTCGATCTTTTTCCTTCCCTTCACCCCCGTTCGGCAGAGCTCGAAACGTATCCCGGCCGAAGCAGGTACGTTTCAATTAACCTTCATGCCGAGCGAACTGTTTTATCCCGACAGCCAACCGATGCTGGAATTAAAAACGTCGCGAGAAAACTCCAGGCAGACGTATTTAACCCCTGGACTTACGATTTCTCTCGCAACCGAGCTCGCGAGGAATCCGCGCCGGACCGTTCGTAATTTATCCGACGGAAAAAATCGGATTTCATGTCGATTTTATGCGTACGTTTGCCCCAAAGGTTCGTAATTGACAACATAAAGTAAACGAGAAGTGGGTTTACTATTTATACAGTAAAACTTTATAGACTGAGCTCGCGGACGTTTATCGTCGGCGCCGGTTTTCGTAACGAAATTTTCCTCCGGTTGCTTTTATCGCGTTGGACGAGGAAAAGGCGAGGAATGGAAGGTATTGTTGGACGGTTGAAATTTCGAGTAGTGGGAAGTGAACTCGGAATGTTTCAATTGAATTTTTGTAGAAAGGAATATTCAAGATTCTGAGTTATCAGCTTGAACTTTCGTCTAACGAGAAATTGAGAATTAGAAGCGATCAGTTTTTAATTTAATTTCTGTCGAGAAAGGAATCGAAGATTCAGGATTGTCAACTGTAAATTTAGTCTCTAGGACGAAGTTGAATTTGCGAATGAATCGTTTTGGAAACTCGACCCTCGTAAATATTAATGTTTAGTTCGAGACGAGGCGATGTCACTGTGGTCAAAGTGTCAGCACGGATGATTCAGATGATCGACGCGTGGGTTTCTGCCACGGGAAATCAGTACCGCGAGTGTATCGCAACATTTTCACGGAACTCGAGCGTGTCTCTCGTGCTCCCGTTCGATTAGCATATTAAACGTGACACATAAAACTGACATCTTGCGTCAAATGTGACGTCAATCGTTGTCGGAACGTTCACCGTGGGGGGGTTAATAATGTCCTTTGACACAAGTGGCTCGAAAATACACTGACAACAGAAACTATAACGTAACTCGATAACTTGCATGATAAAAAGCCTCAGATTTTGATTCACCGTTCGGTACAACAGCTTCTTTATCTAGGATCCATTGTCTAGTTTAATAAGGAACTTCAAATGCGACTGATCCATAGAAAACGGAAGCTCTTTATTCGCAGATGAAAGAAATATTTAGATTAAACGACTGTGTCCTACTTATATTTGCATAGTTCGCTCGTCGCGTCTTTATTTCAATCGAAAGAAAACTGTTGAGCCGATGAATTGTTTTTGAGAATATAAATGTGTATAGTATATTATACTATGAAACACTGTCTCATGAATAAATTACGAACTTGCACTATTATTCAAGAACAACGTACCAAATTTCAAGTCGAAACAGTACGCATCACTTTCGAAGCAACAACAACGAGAATATGTAACCGCTGAATAGTAACTCAAGATTCTTCAAGTTTAAAGCAGCTAACAAAAGAAACTAGTCTCACGGTGACATAACAAAGCCAACTGTTTCATTGTCACCTGTGAAAGAAACCTTTATACGCGGAAAGTTCGTGAAATCTCCGGTGAATCTTTGACAAAAAGACCGACGCCCACGTAGCGTGCGATATCGTCGCAGGCGAGAACAATCAGTATCGCTATCGGCGCAACATATAAAACGGAGAAGACGGCTGCCTCGCGGCTATCTTGACCCGAATCTACGCGTATTTACAATCCAGCGACAAAAATCGTAGAAAAAAGTGGACGCCGGTGGCGCGCGGCGAGGCGAGGCGCAGCCGCCGAGCACCGGAAGTTACGGTAAAGTGCGTGCAATTAGAAAATAACCTAAATTCAAGGCGGTTCGCGATTCGTGTTAAGAATGATCTTAGCCAGGAAGGCGAAGAGGAGCGAGGCAGAAGCGTTTAACGGCCCGTCGAGGAGGGAAATGGTCAATTATCAAGAGCAGACCACGTGGGCCGCACTTTAAGTCACCGGTCAGTGCAACGCGACCGACGTGTCACCTAGTTAGAAATTAATTTCGCGTCTACCCCGCTCGTGAATCCCATTTCGCGTTCCCTGGAGATCGTCCACTCGATATTCAATAGGAAAATAAATGGAAATCCTCGCATCGAGCACGTATTCGGCGAGAAATCG